AAAGATGTGTTACCATACCAATGTTAAATATAGCGATGGAATATGGTGCAGATTTTCAAGCCTAACACGAATGATTCGAGTCCTATCATATTGTAGAAGATTTTTGAAAGATGTCACCTACAAGGGTCCGTTAAAGTTTGAAGAGACACATAGCATACTTATGCAAATCATAAAACTAGCACAATCTGAAGAATTAAAAGGAGACTACCAATCCTTGATGAAAAGTAAAATGGTACATAAACACAGCAAATTATTGACTCTTAATCCATTCATAGATAATGTAGGAATTATAAGAGTTGGGGGCAGACTGGAACATTCTCAACTATCGTATACTAGAAAACACCCCATAATCATTCCATACCATAGTCACCTCGCCATTCTCATCATTAGAGATGCTCACCAACGAACATTGCATGGAGGAAACCAAGCAACATTAGCCTATCTGAGGCAACGATATTGGATTGTTAATTGCAAGACAGCCATCAAGTCTATAATTCATAAATGCACCACATGTTCACGATATAAGGCACAGGCTGCACACCAACAGATGGGGGAGCTACCTTATCCCAGAGTATCACCAAACCCACCATTTACTCACACCGGAGTAGACTACGCGGGTCCCATTCAGGTGCGAGCCACTAAAGGAAGAGGACACAAATCGTATAAGGGGTACATCGCAGTTTTCGTATGTCTATCTACTAAGGCAATCCATCTTGAAGTAGTCAGTGATATGTCTACTGACACATTTCTTGCAGCGTTTAAAAGATTTATAGCCAGGCGAGGTTCCTGCTCCCACATGTATAGTGATAATGGTACAACGTTTGTCGGAGCCAATAACCATTTACAAAAGGAAATTACCAATATGGTCAAACAATCAGAAATACAAATCATGATGACGACCACAGGTATTCAGTGGCACTTTATACCTCCAGCATCTCCGCACTTTGGAGGCTTATGGGAAGCAGGAGTTAAGTCCATGAAATACCATCTGAAGAGAACAGTTGGAGAAGCTAAGTTAACCTACGAAGAACTAACTACGCTGACCCATCAAATAGAGGCTTCTCTTAATTCAAGGCCGTTATGTCCCCTGAGTGAAAAAATAAATGACACGATTACGCTAACTCCAGGTCATTTTTTGATTGGTAGGGAATTAATTGCACCACCGAATCCAATTGACACCAACATCAACACTAATCTATCACAAAGATGGCGACTCGTTCAGAAGATTAAGACAGATTTCTGGAAAGCCTGGTCCATGGAGTATCTCTCAAGACTTCAGCAACGATATAAATGGAAAACTCAGAAAGATAATTTAAAAGTTGGAGATATCGTCATAATCAAAGAGGACAACATTAATCCAAGTCAGTGGCCATTAGCACGAGTAATCCAAACTCATCCCGCACCTCATGGAACAGTACGTGTAGTAACTCTTCGCAGAGCAACAGATACAACATTAAAACGAAATACTCACAATTTAGTACCGCTGCCTCTCGAAAATGAGAGAGTTCCTGAGATACCAGTTCCCAACAAAGTTGCTACACGTACAAATGTTAACCTAACCAGGTGTGTTACAAACCTTACCACTAGGTCTATTGATGGTTTTCCTCAAACAAGTCCAAGTACATCTATCTTCATGAAAGCTTCTAAACCGGGTTCAAAAACACACCAGTATCGGAGTACTTATTTATTCCACTTATGCCTATGTATGATGGTAGTTTTATCCGTTATATCAAAAGTCGATTCTAAGTATGTAATACATCATCCCAATCCTGGAATATACGTGGAACATATTGGTCATGCAAGGCTTGATCGAGGAATATTTAGAATCCAGGTAAACTTCGAAACTGCTAGGCTCGAACAAGACTTTAAAGACGTGTCAGTAGTGGTACAAGAATTCAATGATCTCTGTAATAAAACCAAGGCACTCTCTGATGAAACTCAATGTACGAGTCTTAGCCGACATCTCATAGACCAAGAAGATCAGCTCAATTGGTATAGAAGCAGTTTGCCAAGGAACAACGGGAATCGCAACAAAAGAGGAATCTTGGGTAAATTCCTAATTAGCGTATTTGGAGTCAATGACGAGGTTTACCAAGACATCAATGCTCTTCAAGAAAATCAACAAGATCTCATAAAGGCATCAAGTCATCAAACTAAATTTATGATTTCGACTATCTCAAAAATCAATGAAACTGAAAAAAGAATCAAAAATCAACTAGAACGCTTCAGAGTTAAACTTAATCAAGGGCTAGTTGCAGTTAATGAGATGCAAAGATGGTACAAATCAGTAGATATAAATAAACTCAATATCCATCTACTGAGCACCTACCAGGTGGCCTGCAATTTTTTAGCGGAGTTAAATGAATATTACTCCAAACTCCTAGACGTTCATTTTAATAGAGGCAACCTATACGATTTGATATCTCCACCTTATATTAGCCACATCATTGTCGCAGCAGATGATAAACTCCCATCAAATCTACAAATATTACCAACACCGATTTTAAAAATGAAGATGGAAATTAATGAGACCCACATTCAAATCTTTGCATTCTTTCCAATCGTAGATATTACAGAATTCGCTCTATTGCAAGCAACACCAACTCCTCTCAAAATAGATAAGGGATTCTACTGGATATTGGATATTCTAAGTGAGATCATAGGAGTGGACTACAATACACAGCTTTACTTCCAATTAACAAGTGAAGAATTTAAAAATTGTATCTACTTGGAGGCAAATCAATATATTTGTTCACCCGCTGTTGTGAAGAACATCGAAACAAATTCAAATTGTGTAATAGATGAAATTTATGAAAGACCAGACACCACTCAGTGCAAGATCAAAAAACATAGAGCTGCCCAAATAACATGGAAACAGCTTCACATGCCCAATACTTGGTTTTTTTTTACCAGTAAACCAGTCAACGTGGCTGTCATATGTCAAGGGATACGAGAAGACGTAAAACTCAATTCGACTGGAATTATTCAGATATCACAGGACTGCATTATAAAAACGAAAGAAAATATTTTATCCCCAAAAAGATTGGAAACTGTTCCTGTCCTAGGTAGTTACTCAAAGGCTCTAGCGCCTACTATCAACACTACAATAGAATTGCCATCACACGACACTATCGCCGAAGAAGCTGTGTTTAAACTTACTGATAACTTAAAAGATATACAATCGGAAGAAGAGACACTTCAAACAAAAATTAAAGAAACAACCTGGAAAAAACTACATCAGCATACATATTTGTCTAATGGGGTAACTGCAGTGATCATAGGAATCGTAGCGAATATACAACAAGAGGATCCAAAGAATACAACATCTGTCAAATCAGCCTGAAGTAATCGAGCTCCAGCCCCTGAGATGAATTGGAGAGACGCCAGAATGTTCAATCAGAACATAATAAAATAACATCCTGTACATCAAAGTTTAATTTATTTCACCATAAATTAAATAGTTAAAATTAGAACGTTTCTGGTCGGCGAACCTGAAAATTGCAACTCAGCGAAAACATCGAGTTCGTTGTTTAATTAATTAGCAAAGTTGTTATCTTATATTTAATATTGTTGAAATTTTGTTTAATAATAATAGTTTATAAAAATGTTAATTTTTTTAAAAATAAATGCTTTTTAACCCCACGTTTCGTCTATCTAACATCCTTAAAATTAATATAATAATTATTAAAAAATAGCCCTTATTTTTTAATACAAATTATTCACTGTTAAGACAAAATAACTACATTTAAAATAATTTATATAAGAAAAAAAGTTCATATAATTTTGCCCCATCCGAGTATCGAACTCGAGTCTTCCGTGTAGAAGGCAAGAACTCTGACCACAAAACCATCTATTCTTCTATTTTTGTTGCTTTAATACTCGTAATTAAATTGACTTCGTATAGTTTTATTTAAATTAACAAATTATTTATAATTATAGACGAAATAAAAACAGAAATGCTATTATTTATCGATTCCACACAAGAATAACCCATTTTAATGTATGTTTAATCTCAATAATCAAAAAATATACTGACAATTAGTTTGACAGAATTGCCACTTATTTAAAATTTTAAAAATAATAGCAGTCGGTTGATCAAAATATGAACGCTGATTGGTGGATTTAATTTTTTTGCAGTGTTCTCACTATCTAGAATGGATATGAAATATATTCGTTCAGTTGAAGACAATAGCATACTTTTTCGTTTTTTAATCTGTGCGTAAATAAGCTAATATCCATGTGGGTGTAGAAAAAAATATTTTTAGGACATTTATCCTGAAAAGTGTACATTTTTTTAAATACTTTTAGATACTTCTAGATACTACTAGATACTTCTAGATACTGCTAGATACTTGTAGATACTTCTAGATACTTGTAGAAACTTATAGAAACTTATAGAAACTTCTAGATACTTCTAGATACTTCTAGATACTTCTAGATACTTCTAGATACTTCTAGATACTTCTAGATACCTCTAGATACTTCTAGATACTTCTAGATACTTCTAGATACTTCTAGATACTTCTAGATACTTCTAGATACTTCTAGATACTTCTAGATACTTCTAGATACTTCTAGATACTTCTAGATACTTCTAGATACTTCTAGATACTTCTAGATACTTCTAGATACTTCTAGATACTTCTAGATACTTCTAGATACTTCTAGATACTTCTAGATACTTCTAGATACTTCTAGATACTTCTAGATACTTCTAGATACTTCTAGATACTTCTAGATACTTCTATATACTTCTAGATACTTCTAGATACTTCTAGATACTTCTAGATACTTATAGATACTTCTAGATACTTCTAGATACTTCTAGATACTTCTAGATACTTCTAGATACTTCTAGATACTTCTACATACTTCTAGGTACTTCTAGATACTTTTATATACTAGATACTTCTAGATAATTCTAGATATTTTTAGATACTTCTAGAAAGCATTTATCACATACTATATGACTACATTGTATAATATAAAAACCTACTTACACTGCCGTAGGACCAGATTCAATCTTGCACACGTCCATTGCCCATTCGTCATTACCAAAACATGTCGGGTACCATTGTCCTTTGTAATTCCTATGTAAGAATCCAACCGAGTTTGATATTTTGTTAAAAGGTTGCGAGCCAATGTTATCAGCTAGCACCGAGCAATCTTCTTCATCTTTACCAGTAATTTCGCAATGTATAACACTATCGCATCGTTGTTCTATAGGTATACATGTGCTTTTTCTAGATTTCGACCAATCGTCACAGCTGAACTCGTTGGTGTTGCATCCTATTTTTTTTAAATAGTAAACGGAAGTAAAATAACAACATAGAGAAAGATAAGAAGAGGTTTTTACCAAAACATCCTAATTCGTCATCTCCATTGGGGCAGTCAAAATATCCATCGCAGGCTCTTAGGTTTCCTACTCTCTCTTTGCAAGTACAAAATTCTTCGTCACTACCATCAGCGCATTGTGCATCGTTGTCACAAATGTGGAATTTCGAGATACATTTGCTTCCATCTGCACATGCTTCTTGTCCAACGGGGCAATTAATATCTGCTGATCTACTTTTGTCGCTATGGAAATAAAGAAAATGATACAGTACAACTACAACTAATGGGAACCATAGATTATTTGGACTAAAAAACCTAGTATAAAGAGTATATTTTCTTACCTTGATTTCTCCACTTTCATATTTCCCACCAAATCCTGCAAATTAGCAGATTCCCGTCTAACTTCGACTCCTGGTAACGAAGCAATATTGTTATTGGACATGACATTGTTATTTGGAGAACCAATAGGATTACAAATATAGAACTGCCCACCAGGACCGGTAACTTGAAGTGGGCCATTTTGAGTCTGCTGCATTGGTTGGTTAACGAATTGTTGTTGACCCGTGAAAGGGTTCTGTATATACGGATAAACTGGAGGATTTACAAAAAATTGCTGAAACCTCGGAGCAGACTGTGGTATTATTCTGAGCACTTGATTGGGGTCCTGCCCTCCAGCGTAAGGATTTTGATTAAAGCAAGGATTGAACATTGTCTGTTGGTTTGATTGCATGTCTATTGATGCCGTGGCTAAGTCGATTTTTTGACGTATTCTATGGTCATCTCTGTTTATTTGATCTCGAGATTTTTTACTATTTTCAACCTTTGCAGGTAGGCTTTGTACTTTGTTTTGATTTCTATCATTTGCTGCATTAGAGTAAGAATTTTCTGCGTATTCATTGTTGTCTAAGGGAATATTGATACTTAAAATATCATCTTCTTCATTGTTAGTTTTACTTTTTGAAAAACCTACTGTTTCTGAATTAGCTGTTATTTGAGAAGTATCTGGCTTAACAAATAAATCATTTGGAATTTCATGATTTTTCGGTTTATCTATTGTTGGGTGACTATTTTCACTGTCTTCACTATTTTCACTGTTCTCACTATTCTCACTATTCTCACTATTCTCACTATTTTCGCTATTTTCACTATTTTCACTATTTTCACTATCTTCACTATCTTCACTATCTTCACTATCTTCACTATCTTCACTATCTTTACTATCTTCACTATTTTTACTATCTTCACTATTTCCACTAGTAACACTATCTTTATCTTTATCTTTACTATCTTCACTAGCTTTACGATCTTGACTTTTGCTGTCTTCATTCTTGGTTGCATCAGGATTTATGAAAGAATTATTTGGAATTTTAGATACCTCTGGTTCCAAATTAGCTACTCTTTGGGAACCATCTGGTTTTTTAAATGAATCGATTGGAATTGCAAGCTTTTCTGGTTGACCTATTATTGGGGAACTATCGTCACTTTGCGGATTTTTAATGTTGTCTTCATTTTTGGATGTATCAGGTACAAAATTAGCAGCTTTTTGGAGAACGTCTGGCTTTATTAACAAATCTTTTGGAATTTTAGGGCTTTCTGGTTGATCTATTTTTAAAGAACTATCCTTATTCGGCATATTTTTGAAGCTGTCTTCATTTATAGATGCGTCTGGTTCCAAATGAGTTGCTGTTTGGGAACTATCTGGCTTTATAAATGAATTATTTGGAATTTCAGGCTTTTCTGGTTGATTGACTTCTGAGGAGCTATGCTGATTTTTAATGTTGCCTTCATTTTTGGTTGTATGAGGTTCAACATTAGTAGCTTTTTGTGTACCCTCTGGTTTTAGGATCGAATCATTTGGAATATTAGAACTTTTTGGTTCTATTTTTAAAGAAGTGCCCTTAGTTTCTTTATTTTTAAAGCTATCTTCATTTTTAGATTCATCTGGTTCTAAATCAGCTTTTTGGGAACCACTTGGCTTTATAAATGAATCATTTAGAATTTTAGGCTCTTCTGGTTGATTGAATTTTGCGGAAATATCTTCAATTGGCAGATTTTTAATGTTACCTTCATTTTTTGTTGCATCAGGTTCCAAATTATCTACTTTTTGGATATTATCTGGCTTTACGAACGAATCATTTGGCATATTAGGGCTTTTTGGTTGATCTATTTTTAAAGAAGTATCTTTATTTTGCTCATTTATAGGTGCAACTGGTTCCAAATTAACAACTTTTTGGGAACCATCTGTCTTTTTGATCGATTCATTTGGAGTTTTTGCATTTTTTGATTGATCTATTTTGGGAGAATTATCAGAATGCATTGTTGATTCATCTAAATTTGCATGATCACCGTTCAAGATCGATAATGGGTTGATAACTACTGGTTTGAATTTTCCATTATCTTTATTTTGAGTTTCAGAAAAAGTTCCTTTGATACGTTTAAAATTTGTACTAGGTAGATTATTTTCAGCTATATTTTCTTGTTTTATTAATTTCATATTTTTCGGTACTTTCGTTTTGATTTCAAATGTTTTTCCTGCAGCAGTGTGTAGTTTGTTATCATTGGTAACTATGTTGGTAGGTACCAATGGACTGTTCATAGGTATTTCATTAACTACATCTTTATTACCATTGATTTCTGGGTACTGATGATGATAGTACGAATATTCTGGTTCATAATCGTAATTATTATAATGATGTACAGGGTCGTCATAATTCTCGTAATTGTACGTTTCTGGTAAATATGCTGTGTGGTATGAATTTGGTTCATACCGTTGGGCTACCTCCTCAGCTAGATCTCGTTTTTTTCTACGATCCATATCAAATGCAGGTAATAGGATATTATTATTGAAGCAGTAATTGAAAAATTGGACGTTCGTGTCTCCGAATAGGATACAGCATATTTTTAAAGGTCTCGTTGATACACATTCGTCTATTAGTTTGTCGATGGTAGTTATGCTGATTTGTTTTTTAATTAGAAGATTTGAATTTTCGGTGTCACTGATATCTAAGGGTTTTGCTTTGAAGAAATACGGTTCTGAAATGAAAATATATATTTAAATTGATTTATTTTAAGGAACAAAAATTTTCTAAATACTATCTAATATCTATCTGAAATTGTTAAAGTTATCGATCACAATGTGTCAAATTATAGATAAAGAAAGATAAAGAAAGATAAAGAAAGATAAAGAAAGATAAAGAAAGATAAAGAAAGATAAAGAAAGATAAAGAAAGATAAAGAAAGATAAAGAAAGATAAAGAAAGATAAAGAAAGATAAAGAAAGATAAAGAAAGATAAAGAAAGATAAAGAAAGATAAAGAAAGATAAAGAAAGATAAAGAAAGATAAAGAAAGATAAAGAAAGATAAAGAAAGATAAAGAAAGATAAAGAAAGATAAAGAAAGATAAAGAAAGATAAAGAAAGATAAAGAAAGATAAAGAAAGATAAAGAAAGATAAAGAAAGATAAAGAAAGATAAAGAAAGATAAAGAAAGATAAAGAAAGATAAAGAAAGATAAAGAAAGATAAAGAAAGATAAAGAAAGATAAAGAAAGATAAAGAAAGATAAAGAAAGATAAAGAAAGATAAAGAAAGATAAAGAAAGATAAAGAAAGATAAAGAAAGATAAAGAAAGATAAAGAAAGATAAAGAAAGATAAAGAAAGATAAAGAAAGATAAAGAAAGATAAAGAAAGATAAAGAAAGATAAAGAAAGATAAAGAAAGATAAAGAAAGATAAAGAAAGATAAAGAAAGATAAAGAAAGATAAAGAAAGATAAAGAAAGATAAAGAAAGATAAAGAAAGATAAAGAAAGATAAAGAAAGATAAAGAAAGATAAAGAAAGATAAAGAAAGATAAAGAAAGATAAAGAAAGATAAAGAAAGATAAAGAAAGATAAAGAAAGATAAAGAAAGATAAAGAAAGATAAAGAAAGATAAAGAAAGATAAAGAAAGATAAAGAAAGATAAAGAAAGATAAAGAAAGATAAAGAAAGATAAAGAAAGATAAAGAAAGATAAAGAAAGATAAAGAAAGATAAAGAAAGATAAAGAAAGATAAAGAAAGATAAAGAAAGATAAAGAAAGATAAAGAAAGATAAAGAAAGATAAAGAAAGATAAAGAAAGATAAAGAAAGATAAAGAAAGATAAAGAAAGATAAAGAAAGATAAAGAAAGATAAAGAAAGATAAAGAAAGATAAAGAAAGATAAAGAAAGATAAAGAAAGATAAAGAAAGATAAAGAAAGATAAAGAAAGATAAAGAAAGATAAAGAAAGATAAAGAAAGATAAAGAAAGATAAAGAAAGATAAAGAAAGATAAAGAAAGATAAAGAAAGATAAAGAAAGATAAAGAAAGATAAAGAAAGATAAAGAAAGATAAAGAAAGATAAAGAAAGATAAAGAAAGATAAAGAAAGATAAAGAAAGATAAAGAAAGATAAAGAAAGATAAAGAAAGATAAAGAAAGATAAAGAAAGATAAAGAAAGATAAAGAAAGATAAAGAAAGATAAAGAAAGATAAAGAAAGATAAAGAAAGATAAAGAAAGATAAAGAAAGATAAAGAAAGATAAAGAAAGATAAAGAAAGATAAAGAAAGATAAAGAAAGATAAAGAAAGATAAAGAAAGATAAAGAAAGATAAAGAAAGATAAAGAAAGATAAAGAAAGATAAAGAAAGATAAAGAAAGATAAAGAAAGATAAAGAAAGATAAAGAAAGATAAAGAAAGATAAAGAAAGATAAAGAAAGATAAAGAAAGATAAAGAAAGATAAAGAAAGATAAAGAAAGATAAAGAAAGATAAAGAAAGATAAAGAAAGATAAAGAAAGATAAAGAAAGATAAAGAAAGATAAAGAAAGATAAAGAAAGATAAAGAAAGATAAAGAAAGATAAAGAAAGATAAAGAAAGATAAAGAAAGATAAAGAAAGATAAAGAAAGATAAAGAAAGATAAAGAAAGATAAAGAAAGATAAAGAAAGATAAAGAAAGATAAAGAAAGATAAAGAAAGATAAAGAAAGATAAAGAAAGATAAAGAAAGATAAAGAAAGATAAAGAAAGATAAAGAAAGATAAAGAAAGATAAAGAAAGATAAAGAAAGATAAAGAAAGATAAAGAAAGATAAAGAAAGATAAAGAAAGATAAAGAAAGATAAAGAAAGATAAAGAAAGATAAAGAAAGATAAAGAAAGATAAAGAAAGATAAAGAAAGATAAAGAAAGATAAAGAAAGATAAAGAAAGATAAAGAAAGATAAAGAAAGATAAAGAAAGATAAAGAAAGATAAAGAAAGATAAAGAAAGATAAAGAAAGATAAAGAAAGATAAAGAAAGATAAAGAAAGATAAAGAAAGATAAAGAAAGATAAAGAAAGATAAAGAAAGATAAAGAAAGATAAAGAAAGATAAAGAAAGATAAAGAAAGATAAAGAAAGATAAAGAAAGATAAAGAAAGATAAAGAAAGATAAAGAAAGATAAAGAAAGATAAAGAAAGATAAAGAAAGATAAAGAAAGATAAAGAAAGATAAAGAAAGATAAAGAAAGATAAAGAAAGATAAAGAAAGATAAAGAAAGATAAAGAAAGATAAAGAAAGATAAAGAAAGATAAAGAAAGATAAAGAAAGATAAAGAAAGATAAAGAAAGATAAAGAAAGATAAAGAAAGATAAAGAAAGATAAAGAAAGATAAAGAAAGATAAAGAAAGATAAAGAAAGATAAAGAAAGATAAAGAAAGATAAAGAAAGATAAAGAAAGATAAAGAAAGATAAAGAAAGATAAAGAAAGATAAAGAAAGATAAAGAAAGATAAAGAAAGATAAAGAAAGATAAAGAAAGATAAAGAAAGATAAAGAAAGATAAAGAAAGATAAAGAAAGATAAAGAAAGATAAAGAAAGATAAAGAAAGATAAAGAAAGATAAAGAAAGATAAAGAAAGATAAAGAAAGATAAAGAAAGATAAAGAAAGATAAAGAAAGATAAAGAAAGATAAAGAAAGATAAAGAAAGATAAAGAAAGATAAAGAAAGATAAAGAAAGATAAAGAAAGATAAAGAAAGATAAAGAAAGATAAAGAAAGATAAAGAAAGATAAAGAAAGATAAAGAAAGATAAAGAAAGATAAAGAAAGATAAAGAAAGATAAAGAAAGATAAAGAAAGATAAAGAAAGATAAAGAAAGATAAAGAAAGATAAAGAAAGATAAAGAAAGATAAAGAAAGATAAAGAAAGATAAAGAAAGATAAAGAAAGATAAAGAAAGATAAAGAAAGATAAAGAAAGATAAAGAAAGATAAAGAAAGATAAAGAAAGATAAAGAAAGATAAAGAAAGATAAAGAAAGATAAAGAAAGATAAAGAAAGATAAAGAAAGATAAAGAAAGATAAAGAAAGATAAAGAAAGATAAAGAAAGATAAAGAAAGATAAAGAAAGATAAAGAAAGATAAAGAAAGATAAAGAAAGATAAAGAAAGATAAAGAAAGATAAAGAAAGATAAAGAAAGATAAAGAAAGATAAAGAAAGATAAAGAAAGATAAAGAAAGATAAAGAAAGATAAAGAAAGATAAAGAAAGATAAAGAAAGATAAAGAAAGATAAAGAAAGATAAAGAAAGATAAAGAAAGATAAAGAAAGATAAAGAAAGATAAAGAAAGATAAAGAAAGATAAAGAAAGATAAAGAAAGATAAAGAAAGATAAAGAAAGATAAAGAAAGATAAAGAAAGATAAAGAAAGATAAAGAAAGATAAAGAAAGATAAAGAAAGATAAAGAAAGATAAAGAAAGATAAAGAAAGATAAAGAAAGATAAAGAAAGATAAAGAAAGATAAAGAAAGATAAAGAAAGATAAATGTGAACTTGTTTATCAAAAAATCAATTAAACGTAACCATTTTATAGACGTAGAAATTTATTCAAGAAGGGACTAAGATCAAGGTTTAGGATAATCATAATCATGAGGAAAGATTCAGTCTCTACACCATATCCAATTTCATATGGAGTATGTTTATGGGGTAATTCCGCCATGACACATAACATTTTTTACTGCAATAAAGGATTATCAGGATAATAACAGTTGATTATGGTATTTACTCTTGTAAGGATTTTTTGTAAATTTTAATATTTCAATAATTTTTTATTTGTATGTATACTCACTTTCCAAAGTGTTGCACATATATCTTAATATTGTATTTCTGACTATATGAGCACTTATTTACAATTTGTCTCATTTTGGTGTAAGGTTCTAATTTCTATTTAATGGAAGGGTTTCAAACTTAAATAAAAATAATCCTAATTTTAATATTTTGGTAATGAAAGACTTTTAAAAGTAAGTGTATTCATTTTGAATTATGTATTTCTATTTTAAATAACAACATCAAATTTTTACCCAATAGAAAAAATACTTAACAAAAATAGTAGCTTTTGCAACATGGTTGGCCATAGCGCACGAAGACGAAAAATGAGCACGACATCGTAGGAAATACGGCCAATCCACTATAATTGTACAATATATTTTTTCTAAGACCCACTAACTAAAATCTATAAATTTATAAAAATATTTTAGGTTATTAAAACAAAATAACTAATTTAAAAATAATTTATGAGTTTTACTAATTTACAAAATAAAATAAACATGAAAAAAAAATTTAATTTAATTAGTCCCCAGCCCAAATTTGAACCCGGGCCTCTCGCATGAAAGCAAAGCGCCCTGTGTTCTCACCTACATCGACACAATTTTAGTTTTAATACTCTATAATTTAGAATTATAGACGAAATAAAAATAAAAATGCTATTATTTATTGATTCTACTTAAGAATAACTCATTTTTACGTATATTTAATCTTAATAACCCAAAAATATACTGACAATTAGTTTAAAAGAATTGTAATTAATTTAAAATATTAAAAATATTGGTAGCTGGGTGATCAAAATATGAACTGTGATTGGTAGATTTAATTTTTTTGCAGTATTCTTACTATTTTTTCTACATCCACGTGGATATTAGCTTACCTATGTACAGACTACAAAACGAGAAAATACCATTGCCTTCAACTGGACAAATATATTCATATCTATTCTGCCTAATAAGAACACAGCAAAAAAATTAAATCCACCAATCACAGTATATATTTTGGTAACCCGGCCACTATTTTTTTCAAATTTTATTAAGTGTCAGTATATTTTTTAGTTATTGAGATTAAAATATACGTACAAAATAGGTTATTCTTGTGTGTAGAATCAATAAATAATGGCATTTCTATTTTATATCGTCCACATTTACAAATACATCACAAATATAAAACTTATTTAATTACGAGTATTAAAACTAAAATGGCAAGTGTGTCGATGGAGGTAAGAACAGGGCGTTTGACTTCTATGCGAGAGGCCCGGGTTCAAATATGGACTGGGGATTAATTAAATTAAATTTTTTTTCATGTCTATTTTATTTTATAAATTAGTAAAAGTCATAAATTATTTTATCTTAATAAACCAAAATAATTTTTAAATTTTGTGGATTTTCACTAGTAAGTCATAGAAAAAATATACGTACAGTGTATTACTCGAGTGGATTGTCCATATCCACTCTTGTTGCATGAACAACTATTATTTTATTAGTCTTATATTTAATTAATCCTAGATTTGAATACCTGAGCTCTATGAAGACACCTACACTTTTAGTTTAGTACTTTTAATTAAATTGATTTTATATAGTTTTATTAAAATTTATAATTTTTTGAAAGTATAGATGAATATTTTGTGAAATGGTATTATTTATCGATTCTTCACAAGAATCACTCATTTTTAATTATTAGACATTCCAAACAAAATGGCTGTCAGTTCGTAATGACAGGTTCTGATACGGGAACATTGTGTGATTTGACAGGTTCAATGATACCGATAGTTATATAGATTGATCATACATGTGTTTCAAAATAAACATAAGATTATGCCTTAAGTAAAAAATGTAAGTAATTATTTTGTTTCACTATATCCAAAGACTGAAAATTGGTTTTAAAACACGCTTTTGCTAAATCGATTTTGATTAATAAACGCTGGGCAATATGGCCGCTCGCAAAACGACCCACTTTGGCAATCTATATAACTATATATGTACAATTTTTTGTATTAAAGACAACAGGCCTACAGGGTTAACCATATCATAACCTGTCATTACTCACGGGCAGCATTTTGAGAGGTGGTTGGAATACCTAATATTTAATCTCAATAATTAAAAAATATACTGACAGTTTGACAGAATTGTCACTTTTTTAAAATTTAATAAAATAAACCAATTTAGAACTGTGATTGGTGGATTTCATATTCGTGCAGTGTTCTTACTAGATCGAATGAATATAAAATAAATTTGTTCAGTTGAACGCAATGGCATACTTTTTCGTTTTGTAGCCTGTTGGTAGAATAGCCCACATGGATATAATGTGGGCGTAGAAAAATTATTATATACTATTTTATAAAAATAACGATTTGACTAACTTTCCGACAGGCCTGGGTTCTGGGTTCACAAGTATAATACTCATTTGCAACAAGAGATAAAAGATGTCAAAGATAAAAATCTATACATTGTTAAGAAAATTTCTTTTAAGCAAGGTTCATTATTCTTTATTATAATAAAATGTAGGTCTTTAATTATTGTGAATATCTATGTTTTTTTTTTAAGTTTTAACGTATATACATATTTATATACATTTTTGTTATGTTTTATGGAAAAATAATTATTATTATTTTCTTTCCATGGGATGAAATTCCATATTTGTGAAAAATGGATAATTTACTCAGTATTCATATTCGTTCTGCTGTAATTCTCACAAAATTACCTTTTCTAAATTGTGTTAAATTCCTTATCTAAATATTATAGGTTATAGAGGAGGTGGAGAGAAGGAATTTGACGTGTGACAGTTATGTATAGGATAAAAAGGTATGCACTGGAATATACAAGGTGGCGCAAAATCAAGTACCCTATGGAATGTTGTCATGATTTCCTTTGTAGTTGTCTGTTCGAGTTTTGCTGTCAGTTGCAAAGTAGATACTTGGGAAATTCATTATGAATCGATATACGCCTCGAGAACGTGCCGAAATCGTAAAATTTTTTTAACAAAATAATTCGTCGATTATCAGAATTTTTCTTGGACTCCTTATCTCGAAAAATGCCGATATTGCGTATCCGCCAAGGTCTCCCGATTTAACTGTTTCAGACTTTTGGTTATGGGGTTATCTCAAATATGTAAATACTCCTCGAACACTAGAAGAAATTGACAGAATCACCTGAAATGTTGGTGAAAGTTATGAAAAATGCTTTAAATAAAGCTTATTTTGCATTAATGCTGGGGGTGGCCATTTGGTCGATATTGTTTTTAGTGTGCACCAAAAAAAATTTTTAGAGTTTAAATAAATATTTTTCATTTATAATGACTGTTTTTTAATTAATCTTACTTTTATACAAAAAACAAATAGGGGACTTTATTTTGCACCACCTTGTAAATTGGACTAGTTTTTTAAATAACAATTTTCCTAGAATTCATGTTATCGATGAGTCACCCTGTAGATATACGAATAATAAATGAAGTTTATTAAAAATTAGACGCTTCTTTGTAATTTTCTTTTAGAATACAGCCAATATGAGACGATTAACAAAAAAAGTTTCTAAAGTAGGCCTTGGAAAAACTCACGCGTGCCGGAGAATGCAATTTTTCTTTTTTTTTAAATTATCTGTTTTAATTTAATTCAGAGCCGTAACACCGATATGACTTCTATTTCTGTCTTTGTCGGTCATTGCCTATTTTAGAGACATTTTTTGAGGATCACTATTTATTCATATTTATGTAATTTAGCTTACCTTCATTTATATAATAAACCACAGCAAAAACTGTAATGTTGAAAACAAAAATTGCCACCAAAATTTCCAGTATAATTTTTTTTCGTTTATCGGGTGGTTTCACATTTTTCTTTAGTCCTGCAAATAAATGATAAAACAATAGCAAAAAAATATAGTACATTTGTTTACTTAAAAGACCAATAAAGGTTTTTAGATAAATAAAGTTACACCATATTCGACCATTCTACTTTGCCGAAGTGCAATCTAGAATCAATTATGGACTCACAGCCTGGAGAGGTTCTAACCCTTACTGTAGAAGTTCTTTCAGCCTAGAAGCTGGTGTAACAGTCTTCTGTGACTTTACAAACACATTTGAATGCTTGACCTTAGTCTGTTGCTACTTAATCTTCATCATTATCCTTTTAAATGTCCCTGAAGCAACCACGGTTGGTTTAATACTTTAAGTTAGAAGAGAAGTCAGGAGCAGGCCTATGACACTCCCTGGGCGGGAAAAAGACGCGCAGCTTATACTGCGCTGACGTTTTTGGGATACAACCTATCACTTGTCATAGATCCGGTTAAAAACTCGCTACCATGCGCAGGCAACCCATATTTCGTACACAATACAAACTTTTATTTACATTTTACATCGAAGTTATTTTTGTAATACATTCACAGCTTAAAAACGGAAAATTTGTTATTTTGATAGTGGATTTAGATCAAAAATACCCCAAATACACTTCAGTGTGTGTTTTATCCTTATTGTTACGTATTATTGCTCGTTTTATTTGAGGACATTGGAATAAATAGAGTACTAATCAAGCTAAAAAGGTGTGTTATAAGAAGAAAATACAATGCATTCGACTAATTTATGTTTAATATATTTTCGTGAAGTATTTCCAACATGCTAGTTACTTGAATGGTTGTAAATTGTAAGTGTATAAGTGATAGAAACTGATCTACTTCTTTGTGCTTCCTTTTTTTTTGTTGGTGTCCCAGCCCAGCATTCCTAGCCATCAGTAGTAGCAAAAACATTAACATTGTGTACATTCAACCCATTTACATGTACATGAATTATCAGCTAAAAGTAGAATACAATATTTCTCTGCAAAATGTAAACAACGCTACAAGGAAAATTGTTCATAAATAAATTCAACAATTAAATCAAAATATATTATTTTTAAAGGACTTATATCAACTATTATGTAAATTATAAAATATTATAATATAAGTATTTGTAACAAAATAATAGTTGTGTATTAATAAACCTGTTGCTACTCCAAAAAATATATTGTTTATTGATTATCAGGTATCAAAAATATGTGTACCTATAGAAATTTGTTGAAATGTTCTATTTCTCTTAATCTCTTTAATAGGTTCTTATTATAGTTGTAAATAAAAATCAACATTTTTTATCCGTCTATTTAACACTTACAAACATATATGCATATTTTAATTTGTAAGGATCCGTAGCCTCTTAATTTTTTATATTAGACACAAGACCTGTGATGTCATATTAAATCGTGAATGTTAGGTAAAAGATTTGGGAGTTGTCTTTCAGTCTAATTTGAAGTTCAATAACCATTTCTTACACATAACTAAGAACGCAATAAAAGCTTTGAGTTTTTGAATCAGAAATACAAAAAAAATTTAGGATTACCATCAAAATCAGTTTTTATAATGCCTTAGTAAGACCCCATCTTGAGTATGTTTCACAAATATGGGTGCCCTTGGAAGCCACACAAATTGATCATATTGAAAAAGTAAAAAAAATATTACCGTACCTTTATGCCATAAAAAATACTCGTACCCTTATAAGATCTCATATACTATGCTCGATAGTTTTACAAAGAAGAAAGCAACAGGCTGTGATATATTTTGTAGTCTATTTTAAATAATTTTAAGTACAAAGATTGTGATTTAATTGACTATATAAATTTTAATGTGGCAAAATTAATCTAAGAATCCCAAGAAACAAAAAATTATTTAGTTTAGATCCAAGTAGTATATCTCCTTTTAACAAGATGATGGCTGTTAAACAATGAGTTTCTTAGCGAGATCCAAATAGATATATTTAATGTTAGCCTAAGAAAGTTGAGGACTGTATACTAAATTAAGTTCACTAGATATAAAGGTTTGTTTTGTTTTAGTTTTTAAATTTCTTGTTACTTAACTCTACATGTAACTACTATTAATTTTTTTTATAGTATCCAATAAATAAATTATACCTTATGGCAATTTTAAATTAGTGAATTTAATAAGAATGTCAAATAGTGATATGTATTGTGTCTATGCATTTGCTGTGTGTAATAAATGGCCAATATACATAACTTTGATATTTTTATCACAAGTGTAAAAACTACGAAAACCATATACATATAGTTCCCATTTTTAAATAAATTCAAATTAATTCATAATAAAAAGTAACGATTTTAGTCTGCCATACTTTAACTCATTCACAAAAACAAGTCACTGAGTATATATTTGTAAAAAAAACTACACTAAATAAATGTCTCCGTTCTAAATTTTTATATTTAAAACTACATACTTTCCTATAGATTTTGCAGTAAGTACCTAAATAACGTATAGAATAAATTTCTACAATATACTAGAAAAGTTTTAGATTAGAGTAATTCTTAAGAAATAAAGTAATGCCTCTATTTTGTTATTCTAACCTTGTGTGTTATATATTTCCCTTGACAAACTCACGTTATATTTTGAACTAAAAGTAATAAAACTTTTCACCAAAAAGTAATATTACACATATATAAAAAAAAATTAAAACGGTTCTGTCCTTCTTACATTTGCGAAGACTGTCCTGATATCTATTCTATTTTCTTCTTCAAAGTAATTAAGTAGTTCAACCGTTATCTATAAAGGTATCTCACATCTCGCTCATACACACGAATTTGAAAAGCAGCAGAACAAAAATTCAACCAACCAGGTATACCAAGTCCGTGTAAAGAAAACTTTTCATATCCTGAAAACGTCAAGTGTCAACAAAAATTTCTACTTTTAAAGATCAAACGTGCCGCCTCAGACTGCCAATACTGATTGTTAGATATACTGCGTCAGGAGTATACACTTGCAATTTGGGAGTGCACATGTCTACCAGGCTATGGGATCTTTAATAGGGAAATGCTAAATCGTATTATAGTAGTATTCAATAATCATAAATGGTGTTACTTTACACAAAGTTTGCCCGTTGCGTTCGTCGAGCAGGTTCGGAGTGTGTTCAGAGCATGTTCAGAGTAATACAAGCATACGCAAGTTGGTATTCAATGCTTTTAACAGCCATTGTAGCAAACAGAACCTCCATTTTCTGCGATATTGTTGATTGTTTTATTTGGCTAGTGTTTTGAAGGGAGTTTTTTGAACATATACAATTATGCTGCGAATTCGTCCTTGTACTGTTCCTGATTGTCAAGATAAAGTTAGTCGCAGGTAAGGAATACATTAGCTCTGTGAAGCTGGCCACCCGAAATTCGAAAATTTTAGTTTTAGAAGCGGCATACGTTTGACCACCTATTAACCATGTTTGACCACCCAATAACTTTTTTTGACCACTCTCAGAAACCTAAATATTTAATAAAATATATTAATGGCCGAGTGCCGCTGGCCCTTAATATTTTTAAAAACTGACTGCACCATAAGATTAACCAATTTTTGACCATGTTTGACTACCCCTTAGATTTTTCTAGCACCCCTTAAAATAATTTGAATTACTCCCTAAAATAAGTACACAATAAGGATCCATACTAGTTTAGAATTAAGTTTTGGAATTAATTTTAATGTAGTGTGAAAATTCGACAAATAAAATTTGGAAATAGAATTTTGACTTGGAAAAATTGGTCAAACTACATAAGTGCACAATAAAGATCCATAACGATTGAGAATTATGTTTTGACGTTTGACCACAACCTAAAATAATTTTATGATGCCCAAGTAGTGTGAAAATTCGACAAATAAAATTTTGAAATCGAATTTTGACTAGGAAAAAATGGTTAAATGACATAAGTGCACAATAAAGGTCCTTAATGATTCAAAATTATGTTTTCACGTTTCAACACCCCCTTAAATAATTTAATAGTGCCCAAGTAGTGTGAAAATTCGGAAAGTAAAATTTGAAAATCGAATTTCGAAATGGAAAAAACCGTCGGACGACATATGTGCACAATAAGATCCATAACGATTGACAATTATGTTTTGAAGATTGTTCACACCCTAAAATAATTGTATGGTGCCCAAGTAGTGTGAAAATTCGAAAAATAAAATTTGGAAATCGAATTTTGACTAGGAAGAAATGGTTAAACCACATAAGTGCACAATAAAGATCCTTAACGATTGAGAATTATGTTTTGACTTTTGACCACCCCCTTAAATAATTTAAAATAAGCACATTAAAATTATTTTAGGGGGTGGTCTAACGTCAAAACATACTTCTAATTCATTATGGATCATTATTGTAAACTTATGTCGTTTGACTATTTTTTCGGAGAGAAAATTTTATTTTTCGAATTTTCATATACTTTGGCACATTAAAATTATTTTAGGGGGTGGTCAAACGTCAAAACTTAATTCTAAATTGTTATAGATGTTTATTGTGCAAAAAATGGTCAAAGGATATAAGTTAACAGTAAAGATTCATAATAATTTAGAATTATATTTTGACGTTTGACCATCCCCTAAAAAAAATTGAATATGCCCAAGTGTGAAAATTCGAAAAATGAAATTTGCAAAACTAATTTCCACTAGAAGAAAATAGTCAAATGACATAAATTTACAATAAAAATCCATGACGATTTAGAATTATGTTTTAACGTTTGACCACCCCCTAAAATAATTTTAATGTGCCCAAGTAGTGTAAAAATTAAAATTTGCAAATCGAATTTTGACTTTAAAAAATTGGTCAAACGACATAAGTGCACAATAAAGATCCATAACTATTTAGAATTATGTTTTAACGTTTGACCACCCTCTTATGTAATTTTATTGTGCCCAAGTAATGTAAAAATTTGAAAAATTAATTTTTGAAATCGAATTTTGACTTGGAAAAATTGCTCAAACGACATAAGTGTACAATAAAGATCCATAATGATTTAGAAATAAGTTTTGACGTTTGACCCCAAAATAATTTT